GAAACCAGGTGGGGGGTTTAGGGTATCTAGGGCTTCTATAAGGCTTCTTTTAAGCCTATAGACCTTCTATAAGGCTCCTATAACGGTAACTACCTACCTGAAAATGTCCTAGACTTCAGGCAGGGTAATATGGGCGTCCTTTAAGGGTTCCTCTTACAGAGTTCTATAAGGGGTACTATAAGGGGTAGATGGGGGCCTCAATAAGTAGAATAGGGCGTAGGGTTTAGCGTCTAAGGTTTAGGTTTGGGGGGTTATGATATGCTGTAAGTTCAAAGGGAACCAGCGGGAATATTGTAGAGACTACTGGGACCCTTACATATGGTCCCAAGCACAGGGGGTGCGTAAGTCATGGGTCTGAACTAATCAGTCTTCTCTGCTCGTGCTGCCGGAACTACACCTATCACTATCATCAGTACGGGGACTACCTAGTACCCGGTACCACGAGTATTGGTGGTAGCAATACAAAGTGTACCAGCCCTACTACCATGGTAAGACTAACAATGACAATAACAATGTGACTAACAGATGCGTATATACACAGATATACAAACAGTTTCTGTCATGTTTATGAGAACAGCCACTTGCGGAGCCAGGGTCGTTTACGGTGCTTCTGGTTTCGGCTATGTTAGGGTTTAGTTAAGGTTTACGATTTGGGATACATGATTGTCCCGAAACCCTAAACCCTAAACCGTAATTCTTTTGGGCTGTTGGTTGACTGGGGAAGCTCACGAACACCCTGCGAAGGTCTGAAGCTGGGTTGAGGGCTCAAACCCGGGTTTAGGGTTTAGGGGAGTCAAATATATAGGAGCCTGAATAAGTAGAATAGGGTTTTGGGGCCCATCATACTATAATTATATTAAGGAACCCCCCAAAATAGTATTTTTAATTATTTAGGCCCCTATATTAAATGAAGAGTCCTTGGTTTCCAGGCTTCGGGGTTGAGGATTTCAGACTGTGTAACGTATGTTGCATATAGGGATGACGGTCCCAACGGACGTTTACCGTGGCGAGTTATAGCCCTAGTTCCAGCAAGCTCCATGTGGGGGTTTCCGAACATAGGGGGCCCTAATATAGTACCCTAAATAGTAGGATCCTTATTATACCCCATAGGCCAGGGAAATCGAAGGTTAAGCTTTCAGATTACTACTAAATCATAAGAACCCAAAAAGTTTAAAGGTTGGGTATTGGGGAACTAAGTACAAGGGCCCCAAAACAAGGTACCCCTTGTTTTCGGAAACCCCCCCCATGACCCTAAACCCTAAACCCTAAACCCTAAACCCTAAACCCTAAACCCTAAATCCTAAACCCTAAACCCTTAATCGCCAGTCCCGAATCCTAAACCTCGAGATTAGGCTCGGGAGCTTAGGGTTTAGGGGTTTAGGGTTAGGGTTTCGGGTTTAGGGGTTATGGCTTAGGGTTGGGGATTACGGAAAGTTTCGACGATCTCGAGCTGAGTGAATATAGCGCCTAGATAATGAAAACAGAGTTTTGGGACATATATATATATATATATATATGATGCTGTGGCTGTGGTTAAGCTCATGTTAAAGCCTAAGAAATCAGATTACGAATGTCTCATGCCCTATAGTACTCGGAGGTTCATGGGTAGTTCTAATATAAGTGGGGTTAGAAGTCCCCTAATTTTGGGGTTATAAGTATAGTTACCCTACTTATAACCCCATTTATAACTACCCATGAACCCTAAACCCTAAACCCCAACCCTTATAGTAGACCCCCACTTATAACTACCCATGGACCCCCCAAATAGAGATTGCAAAGCTAGCCCCATTGCTCCGACCTCGTGAGACTGCGGCCCGCGCCGTGCATGCGGCGGTCTGCATGGAAGAGGTTTCGGTGAAGGGCTCAGGGAATCTGCTCAGTGCATGGCCGCTACACTTGAGTTGATGCTTCCTGTATATTTCTGTTGTCAAATCTTTTGCCCGCACTTGTTGGTAGCATCGCTGCTAGCAAATTGCGAATTTAAGGTGGAGCATGATGTGAAGCACAACGACGTCCTCGAATGCAGGTGAGATACTACCAATGCTACGCTGATCTACTTGGAGGTTCATGGGTAGTTATAAATTGGGTTGTAAGTAGGGTAACTATACTTATAACCCCCAAATTAAGGGACTTATAACCCCACTTATAACTACCCCTAAACCCTAAACCCTCTAGAATCCTTGAAAGGAGCCCTTAAAGGAACCCCCATAAACCCCACTTATAACTACCCATGAATCCCTAAACCCTAAACCCTAAACCCTAAACCCTAAACCCTAAACCCTAAATCCCAAACCCTAAACCCTAAACCCTAAACCAAGTAGCTCCGCACACTCAGCCCGAAGCGCTGCCCAGGCCCCCCTTAAGGAGGATCCAAAAAGTAGATCCCTAAAAGGAGGGTTCCTATAAAGAGTATAGGCTCCCAAAATAGGGTTTAGGGTTTAGAGTTTAGGGTCTTTAGTAGTATAGGGTCCCAAATTAGGGGATCTACTTTTTAGATCCTCCCGGGGGTCTGGGTGAACGTGAACTCCTACCAACTACAGCCACCGGGATGGCAACAGAATTACAAATCACCAGAACTACTACGTAGCAACACCAGCTTCTTATGATCTCAACTAGTATCTATGTTGCTGCCCGTGCTGTTGTCGTTTTCTTGCTGTCATCTTCATTACAGCACTTGGCGCTACTAGTACGCCTACCAGTTCACTCCTGTTCTCAGTACTGTTAGTGTTACTCCGGGAACGGGATCTATAAGGGCTCTCGGATTCCTAAACAGGTTCCCAAAAAAGGGGGTCTTTAAGGGCTCCAGGGTTCCTGAAAGGGTTCCTACTTGGAGGTTCAGGGGTATAAGGGTTGCGGTTTAGGGCTTAGGGTTTAGGGTTTAAGGTTCATGGGTAGTTATACATGGGGTTATAAGTAAGGTAACTATACCTTTGACCCATCTTAGGGGACTTGCAACCCCACGTATAACTACCGGTAAACCCTAAACCCTATAGAACCCTTTAAGGGAACCCTTAAAGGAACCCCCATAATCCCCACTTATAGAACTCCCCATGAACCTCCAAAGTAAGAGGATTCCTACAAACGCTAAACCCCAAAACTCTAAACCCTAAACACTAAACCCCAAACCCCAAACCCTAAACCCTAAACCCCAAACCCCAAACCCCAAACCCTAAACCCTAAACCCTAAACCCTAAACGCAAGCCTCCAGAAGCTGGCTCTCTACATCGGCCAGATGCCTCGTCGCAATGACCACTTGGAGGTTCATGGGTAGTTATAAATAGGGTTATGGGGTTCCTTTAAAAGGGTTCTATCGGGTTTAGGGTTTAGGGGTATTTATAAGTGGGGTTATAAGTCCCCTAATATAAGGTTATAAGTATAGTTACCCTACTATAACCCCAATTATAACTACCCATGAACCTCCAAGTACAAGTGGGGATCTGGTGTTCCTTTAAGGGTTCCTTTAAAGGGTTCTATAGGGTTTAGGGTTTAGGGGGAGTTGTAAGTGGGGCTAGAAGTCCCCTAATCTGGGTTATACGTTATAAGTATAGTTACCCTACTTATAATCTTCGTTATAACTACCCATGAACTTCGTATAGTTACCCTACTTATAATCTTCTTTATAACTACCCATGAACTTCCTAGCACGTCCGGTGTGCGATTCTTAGGAGGCTTTGGTTTTGTAGGGTTCGAGGAAGAGCTCGGTAAGGGTTCTATCGCCAAGCTCTAAAGGTTGTATCAAGGTTAACGCTTAAGGGTTGAAAGTTTTAAGGGTTCCTCTTAAGGGTTCCCTTTAAGGGTTCCTTTTAAGGATTCCTTTAAGTGTTGAAGGTTTTAGGGCTTAGGGTCGTGGGCCTTTGGGCGTTTCAAGGGCTGCTGGGCTTAGGGTCGAAGGGGTGGCAGCAAAGTTGGAACATAGGCTGAGGATGATTAGTGCTGGGATGCTCTCTAGCTTACTCGGAGGAGGGAAGATAATATCCTACAAAAAGGACGCTGAAATTTATTGCAGTTGGTCTCACTGCGTTCTGGCAGAACTCGACTCCGTTGGAAAGGCGCCGATTGGCCTAATGTAGGGGCCTTAATAATTAGAATAGGATTTTAGGGTACATTATACTATGTTTATAAAAGGGAGCCCCCAAAATAGTATTGGCAAATATTTAGGCCCCTATAATAGAGCGTGCGTGACAGGAAGCAAATTGCCCTTGCAACGAGTGGCCATGCTACAACATGTATGTCAGCTCGCAGGATTGTAGGATTCTGGACTGATTGTCATGGTTTCTATTGTTTAGTATTCATGCAACTATTGTAACGACTTCTTATTGTTCTGACGATTTTGATTGTGCTTCTTCTTCGTGTTGTATAGTACACGTTTTGGTGCACTGAGTTCCTGAACGGACAGAAGCCTCATGAAGTTGAACTTGACGGTTGTGTTCGAAGCGAGCCATGTAATATAGGGGCCTAAATAGTTATCAATACTTTTTTGGGGTTTGAGCCATGTATTGAAGATCCGCAAGCTAGGACCGGATGGGGTCAAAGGCCTGAGGCTTGACCTGTATGAAGCCTGAACCACGAAAGCCTAACACTACAAGCTCTAAGTCCTAACCCCCAACTGAGTTCTACACCCTGAAGCCCCATACCGTAGAGTCACTGAGCCGCTCTGAAATGGTTGAGCGAGAGCTTGCTGCCAAGGAACTTGTGCGGAAGTCGGCGGTGACCTGTCTGAGTCTCTCAGTACACAGACGGCCGGAATATCCCATACCCCAAAAAGTCACAACGGTAAGCTCCTTTTGATATGATGTCTAATGCAGGCTGGAGCTCTGTACTGAGTAGGAGCCACCGCACAGAAACAAGCAAAAGTAACAGTAACATCCACAATCTCCACAAAGTTTCTCTAACATAGGAGCTTTAATAATTAGAATAGGGTTTTGGGTTCCACTTTATTATATTCTTTTACATATATATATATATACATATATATATATATATATACATATATACCTATAATAAGGACCCCCCCCCAAAAAAAAAAAAATAGTGTAGATAATTCTTCAGGCCCCTACATTACCAACGATCTCTGCAGCGAAGGTGTTGATACGGAGGTGTCCGTGTTCAGCGCCCCAAGGGGCCCCCCCGCGATTGCCCTCCCCGCTTTTTACCACCGTTTAAAGGGCCCTTTAGACTCCGAGCCGTGTCGCTCCACAAGGGGAGGTGGGGGATGTGCGGGGGTGATCTATAGGATTACTAGAGGGGTGGGGAAAAGGGAAGATGGGGACTACCAGGGTGGAGTACTCTTTGGACGTCCAATTTCTGTCGCAGTGCCCTCAAACTCGCAGAGGGAGCAGGACACTTTGGCTCAGCTAGGCTGGAGTAGTGTGTGGAAGAGCGGTCCTCGGAAATCTCTGCTTTTGTTTCATCGTCTCTGGACAATGAGTGCCGAGATGTGCTTACTGTCGTGCCAGGCCCAGCTGAACCCAACCCAAGGAACCCAAAACCCCTGGAACATGTTGCTATCTTATGGGGCTTCTCGTAACGACTTAACGTGCATGCCGTGATCCCGGGGTAGGTTGAGCTTCTTCGGGAAGGGTTCGAGGGCTGAGGCTGTTAAGGCTTTGGCGTTTTAGGGCTCGGGTTTGCCCTAAACCCTAAACCCTAAACCCTAAACCCTAATCCCTAAACCCGGGTTAAAGTGGATTTGGGCCGATGCCTGAAGACTTTTGACTGAGGATCCCAGGCCATGGTTCATGTCATACCCGTATTCTTGGCTGACTTCTGAACCCCTCCTCAAAGTTAAACTTTTAGCCTACTTATTATGATTCATATAGAAACCCAAAAGTTAAAGTCCTAAGAGCCAACCAGAAGAACCCCAAGTATTCCTGCTATGACCCCATCAAGATCATGGGATCGTTACTGCCAGGATCCCGAAAGTTACCCCCAATACAAGAAATCGCCGTAACTTTTGACCGGATCTTCGCAGCTTTGAACTTTCAGAGAGAACTTGGCCCCACACGCCCGGCAGCCATCAAGGGGGATGCCAAATGAACGTACAGGGCCTTTGGGCGGGTTGCGGGTCGGTGGGATTTGGAGTTTAGGGCTTTAGAGGTTTTGGGTGTAGAGTGAGGATGAAGGATTTGGAGGGTTTTAGGCTCTAGGCTGTAGGACTCTAGGGTTCAGATTCTGGTCTGCAGCCACACACTATGTGAGACACGATCTCCCCAAGCTCGCAACACGATGTCTGTTCGTCATAATTACTAGTAAGACTGCTCAGTAGTGGCGCTTACGATACGGATAGTAACTATAAGTACGACAAAACCAGCCTATGAACCCATGCGCACCATTGCGCACCGTTGTATCCCATAAATCCTCACAGCCGGACCTACTGTAGAGGCCTGAATAATTACCAATACTATTTTTGGGGGCTCCTTGTTATAATTATAGTAGATTGGGCCCCAAAACCCTATTCTGATTATTAAGGCCCCTCCATTAGTTTGGACTTCCCCAGTAAGCCGAGGAAATAAAAGGTTAAACTTTCAGATTACTACTGAATCGTAAGAACCCACAAAGTTTAAAAAACCCTAAACCCTAAACCCCGAACCCTAAACCCCGAACCCTAAACCCCGAACCCTGAACCCTAAACCCTAAACCCTAAACCCACAAAGTTTAAAGGTTGGGTGTTGGGGAACTATAAGTTCCCTAGGCCAAAGGTCCGCAGAGCTCCTAAGGTCGGCCCCAGAGAAGGGGTCCCCGAATACCACCGGGGGAACGTCATAGGGTTTAGGGTTTAGGGTTTAGGGTTTAGGGGTAGGGGCCTTAATAATTAAGGGCTTTTGAGGGTTTAGGGTTTAGGGGATTCTTAATGTAGGGGCCTTAATAATTAGAATAGGGCAGTAATTAATTAAGGGTTCTTTAATGGGTTCTACAAGGGATCTATAGTAGGGTTCATTAAGAGATGTAGTATGAGCTATTGTAGGGGCCTTAATAATTAGAATAGGGCTTTGGGGGTTCCTTACTATAATTGTAGTATGAGCTATTGCAGGGACCTTAATAATTAAGGGCTCTTTAACGGGTTCTATCAGGGATCTATAATAGGGTTCTCTAATGTAGGGGCCGTACTAACTAAGGGTTCTTTAACGGGTTCTATAAGGGATCTATAATAGGGTTCTATGATGCAGGGGCCTTAACATCTAGACTAGGGCTTTGGGGGTTACATATTATAATTGTAGTAGAACATACCGCCAAACCCGATTCACAATATGTTTGAAGCCCTTATATGGGTGTGTCTTTAGAAAGAAGTTAATCCCTTCCCCCTAATATTAAA